GGCTAAAGCAATCCCCACGTGCTAGGTTTGAAATTTTCACCAAGGCTGTCCAGAATAAGGGATATACGCAATCCAAGGAGATCATACGATGCTTTACAAACACAAAGGAGGGGGGAAGGTAACTGTACTAATTTTGTATGTTGATGACATCATTGTGACCAGTAATGATGACATTAAGAGGGATGACCTGAAGAAGTCTCTTGCAAAAGAATTTGAGACTAAGGAGTTGGGAAATCTGAGGTATTTCTTGGGAAAAGAAGTTGCAAGGTCAAAAAAAGGAATATTTCTATCACAAAGGAAGTATATCCTCGATTTGCTTTAGGAAACCAGTCTATTGGGATGCAATCCAGAAGATACTCCTATTGACTTCAACCACAAGATTGATGGTATAACCATAAGCCCAATGGTGGAAAAGAAGAGGTACCAACAATTAGTTGGAAAGCTCATTTACTTATCCCATATTAGGCCTGATATTGCCTATGCCGTGGGAATTGTCAGCAGGTTCATGCACGCTCCTAATCAAGACCATCTGAACGCTGCATTCGGGATCCTAAGATATCTCAAGGGCACTCCAGGAAAAGGAACTTTATTCTCCAAAAATGGGAATATGGAGATTGAAGCCTACACCAATGCAAACTGGGGAGGATCACTTAGTGATACACGCTCTACTTCAGGGTATTGTACCTTTGTAGGAGGTAATTTGGTGACATGGAGGAGTAAGAAGCAAACAGTTGTGGCTAGATCAAGCGCTGAAGCTGAGTTCCGTGTAATGGCTTTGGGAATTTGCAAGTTACTTTGGCTGAAGTCTATTTTAAAAGAACTGAAGTTGGAAAGCAATAATCCAATGAAACTCTACTGTGACAACAAAGCAGCCGTTGGTATAGCACACAATCCCGTACAACACGACATAACAAACATGTTGAAATCAACAGACACTTTATCAAGGAGACAATTGAAGGAGGCCTAGTCTGCACTCCTTATATCCGATCTAAAGAACAGCTAGCTGATACCTTGACTAAACGTTTGGCTAAAGGACAATTTCAGGAGTTAATTGGCAAGTTGGGCATGACTGATATCTACACACCAGCTTGAGGAGGAATGTGGAAAAACAGATCACCAGAAAATCTGGGATTCTAGGCGCGGTTGACCCAAGATTCGGATCCAATTTATTCATAATTATTCCCTGAATAAATTGGAATGATTCCTTCTCATTTTAGTCTCTGATTCAAGCTGTTTGTACAGCTACAAATCTTTGACTTTGTACATTTATTTATTTCCTTATTTATAGCCTAGAGTGTAGGTGTCCTTTCTTGTATATATAGGCCTTGTACAATCTGTAAACGATGAAGGAAATATAGAATTCCCTATTCAAAAACTTTCCTCAGAAATGAATACCCCTTTCTTCAATCTGCACACCTCGATGCCAAGAAAGTATCTCAATAATCAGAGGTCTTTAACCTCGAACTCTGTCCCTACTAATAACTTCATTCGATGAATCTCTTTTGAATCATTTCCGCTAATAACAATATCATCAACATATATAATAAAGACAGTGGTGCAAATCTGGTGTTTCTTGATGAAGAGAGTATGATCTGCCCGACTCCGTGTGTACCCTACTCTTTTCACAGCAGTGTTTAACCTCTCAAACCAAGCACGTGGCGACTGCTTTAACCCATACAAGGCTTTATTTAGCTTGCACACTAAATTCTAACCATTAGCAAGCTTTAACCCTAGTGGCATAGTCATATCCACATCTTCCTCCAAGTCACAATGAAGGAAAGCATTATTTACATCCAGCTCATGTAAAGGCCAGTTCAAATTAGCCGCCAAAGAAAGGACACGTATAGAGTTCATCTTGGCAACTGGAGCAAATGTTTCCAAATAATCAATCCCATAGGTCTGAGTGAAGCTCTTTGCAACTAACCGGACTTTATATCTCTCAATTGTTCTGTCTGCATGATACTTAATTGTGTAGACCCATTTGCAGCCTACTGGTTTCTTACCCTTAGGTAATGGAACAATATCTCAAGAACCATTCTTCTCAAGGGTCTTCACTCTTCAAGCATGGCTTCTTCCACAGAGTTTGATTGAGAGCATCTGAAACACTAGAAGGAACAGATACAGAGGAGATACACGAAGTGAAAGCACGATATATTGGAAATAAGGCATCATAGGATACAAACTGAGATATGGGATGTTTTGTATAACTACGAACACCCTTACGATAGACAATACGGACAACAAGATCAACAGGAATGCTATTGGGAAAAGAATTAGGAGTATCAATGTCAACTGAGGAATTACCTGGATAGAGGGAGACTTCTTCGTCTTGGGGTGAGTCGATGACTTGTTTTGCCCTCCCAGTGTAGACAATTGGCTACTTTCACTGCTACAAATCATTAGTGCTAGAAGGACTAGACATAGGCACCTCAGTAAGAAGCTCCCCCTAAATGGGAACCTCCCCCTGAATAGGAACAGGCAAAGGAAGGGGGCATTCCCTCTGAATGGACGACAAATTCTTTACTTCTATAGTAGTCTCCCCTTGTAAAGAATCCCGAGCAGTGGAAAAAAAAAAAGGAAGAGACTCAAAGAATGTAACATCCATGCAAACAAAGCAACAACGAGTGGTAGGGTTATAACACCAATACCCTTTCTGAGTGGCGGAGTATCCAAGAAAGACACATCGGGGATTTAGGGTCCATTTTGTCCTTGCGATGATGAATGTGAACATAACAAACACAGCCAAACACTTTCGAAGGGACAGTAAACAAGGTAGTGTTATGGTGTAAGGCAGAGAAGAGGGGTTGATAGCCAAGAACCTTATAAGGCATCCGATTGGTAAGATATGTAACTGTTAAGGTTGCATCAGCCCAATAACTTTTAGGCACTCCCATCCCAATTAGAAGAGAACGGGCAACCTCCATAATATGACGGTGTTTTCTTTCGGCTACACCATACCGTTGTGGTATATCAATACAGGAGGTTTGATGGACAATCCCGTTATCAACAAAAAGGATGCAAACCACCCAAGAACTCATGGATTCGATTCCTTTCTACCATAGCATGAAATGCTTTAACATCAACTGCACACACAAGTATGTAGTCTTGGTAGTGATCTAACTCTTCCCATTTACCACGTAGAGTGTGGTAATATGTAGCAAGAATTTGGTCTTCCTACTTGAATCTTAAAATCTGTTATTGGAGTTCATACAGTTTTGCAAAATTACATATGTTGTTGGAGTTCATACAGTTTTGCAAAATTACCAATCGAGGAATATGTCTCTTCCACAGCCGTCCATAACTCTTTAGCTGTTTTCACAAACAGAAATCCTTTGCTAAATTGACTACAATAACCACGTCATAACTAGTGCATTATTTGCACTCCACTCTTTGAATTCCGGATCACTCTTGGAGGGATACATGACAGTCCCTTCGATATGGCCAATCATCCTACGACCAGTGATACGTATACGAGCAGATTGAGCCCACTCCATATAGTTCGTCTCATCTAGCCTAACACTGGTAATACAAAGGCGTGGATGGTGATCAATACTACCTCCCAATACTAGAGTCAAACTAGGAGAAGACCCAGCTTGTTTTGAAGTCACCTCTGAGCCAAACATTTTATCAAACAATTTCTGGGTATACAATCCTCAGAAACAAAAGCAGCAACAAAATACGTAGAGAACCACCTCTCTAACACACAAACTTCAACTAGAAAACTTACCGTCTTCTGAGATGCATAAAAAAGCGACCACGCAATCACCACACAAACCCTAGAAAGCAACAAAGTAGACGATACCAGAATCGCAAACGACGAAGAAAAAGCCGTTGTTGCAGAACCATGCGAACACGTAAAAACACCAATCGAGACTGCAACAGATCAAAAACACTACTTCAAAACCCTACTTCCTTGGATGTGATTAACACCACTTCCTTTCAAACAGATCTCATCTTGGAATCTCTTCAAAACCCTTCACACCCACTAAGGTTTACACAAAGTTGCCTTAGGGTTTCAACTACACACCTAGAGCTTTACAAACCATGCTCTGATACCATGTTGACTTTAAGATATAATCAAATCAATAGTAAAGTATAAGAAGAAAAAGAGAAGAAAGAGGATGAGAGAAAGAGAGAGATGAGGAGAGAGAGAGAGAATACTTTCATCCTTCCACCACATTCTATTTATACTAACAAGTTTCAGAAATTACACATAAGCCCCAATATTATATAAGTAATAACAAATAAGCTCCTGACAAGAGTTAATTCACAAACCCTAAATAGACCCCCCCCCCCCCCCCCCCCCCCCAAAAAAAAAAAAAAAAAAAACTTTTCACTCCAAAGTTAGCAAATAAGTCAAGTCTCATTAGTGAGAGATGGGTACTGCAATCATTTCACGTTGCTATGTGAGGACATTTAAGAAAAATATGCAAATTTATTTGTCCATTTGACAGTCCGTCACAACTAGGGAGGCCCGTGTGACAAGGTTTGCTTTTTAGAAGGGTTAAAAAATGACAATAATAAATAAATAAATAATATTAAGTTTCTGTCTTAACTTTTGAGCAACAAACTCTGAAACTCAGGAAGTTTCATGAAAATCAACCCACAAAAATTCAAACAGATAGCCTATAATAAGTAAGAAAACAAGAAGAAAAAAGAAAATCTCAACTTGCGGACAGAACACACAGGAAACAGCCCAATAAACTTGAACTAAAAATTGAACTCATACAATCCACAATAAACTCGAAGAGAATTTTAAATGAATCCTAAACTGTGACAAAATTTTCCACCAGGAAACCTATTTTAATATCAATTTAAAGTATTTATAAACATTGGCAATAATAAGGCTCCAATATAGTGAAATCTCAAATGATTGTAGCCCCGAAATCAAAATCCTCAGATAATCTCAAATGCATCCAGAATTCCCATATTTTTCAGACCAATTCACAAGCAAAACCGTCCAGAAATTCAAATGGGTATCAAATTGTGAGAAAAATTACCTTCAATGAAGCCCGAGAACTGCGTCAAGAAGGCATTAATCTGATCTTTGTAGAGGTACCCAACAGTCCCAAATCCACCAACAACGCCGACGAGCAACAGACCAGCCAAGAGGGTCCCTCTAACAGCAGTCTCACCTTCCAACCCTCCATCACCACCACTGTCAACGCCGTCTTTGGCATCCCCGTCGCCCTTGGAGTCCAAATTCAAGAGCCTTCTGAGGCTCTGTGGGGGGTTGCCGGGTGTAGCTTTTTGAAGGGTCTGTTGTTTCTTTGTTTCTTTGAGGGAAGAGCATGGCTTGAGGAAGTGAAAGCGCTTTGGTTTGAAGTTGAAGAGGAATAAAGAAGCCGAAGTGGAGAGAGAGAAGTGGAAGTTTGGTCTGAGAGGTTGGAAAGGTAGAGGTGGAGAAGGAGGAGGAGGACGGGAGAGGCACGGTGGCCTCCTCATTATTTTAACCACTCAATTCACTTTAGTGAAGGATAACACTAAAGAGCTGTTTGTTTTCAAGTGTCAGGAGGGGGGTGTGTGGTGTGATCGCGATGTACAAATCAATGCTGATTGGAAACGATGTGAGGGGCTCTGGTTATTTGGGCATTTGTGCGGTGATAAGGAAATCGGATTCACTTGCTGACAACAGGACAAATGAATTATATGTTCTCCCTATTTACATAGTAGACGAATGTCGAGTACTTCTAATTCGGTCCAAAAACTGTTATTAAGGTCTTCCTAACACTTTGAGTTTTCATTTTCTGTTGTGATATTTTTTTTATTTTAAATGGCAATTAAATCGATTTGTTAACTCTATTTTAAATTTTCACATTTTTAAAAATTAATCATTTCCTTCACAAATCCCACAATTCCAAAATGAAACTTTTGTTTTTCCTTTTGATTTTCAAATACTGTTATTTTATTAATTTATTATTTTTCAAGATAAAAATTAGAGAAATGTTTTTATTATTTTTCACAATTCAATTATACTTGAATAGTAAATAAAATTAAAAAAATTTATTTTATTATACTTGAATAGTAAAATTAAAAATGTTATTTTATTATTTTTTAATTATATTCAAATAGTAAATAAAATATTATTTTATTATTTGTAATGTCTGTATAAGTGTATATATGTATACTTGTGTGTGAGGTGTAATTCAAAAAAAAAAAAAAAAAAGAAAAAAAAAAAAAAAGAGAAAAGAAAATTCAAACAAAAAGGGTGAGACCCAGGAATGTGTTAAGTGGTCATAAGACCATGTTTTTGTAGCTCTTTGTAATCTAATTCTTTCTTTCTCCCGTCTCTCTGTTCCCTCTCGGCTCTTTGTTTTTTTCATTTTCCAAAGTCAAGGCTTGATTAATTCCTCAATTCTTAATATTTTGAAGTGCCGTTTGCGGCAAATTGAAGCTCACGATGAGGCCTACAAGTTGATAGGAGCAATTTCTAATTTGGTGTACTCCTTAATTTTCGAAATCTAGGGCATCAATTTGAGGTTTTTCATTGCTTTAGAGGTAGGGGTCTCTAATACTCAAATTCTTGTTCCTTTGTGAGTTTCCCTACTTTAATTGTTGTCAATCATGCTAGATTTGAACTGATAATCTCTTAAATAATTTTAATTGTGTATGTGAAGCATGCTATTATGTGTATTTGTTGTCCTACATGGAAAGTATGCCTAATTATTGATCTTCTATGCTTGTTGTGTTCATTAAATTGTTAAAAATTGTTATGAGGAAGCATGCTAGTTGTGTAACATTAATTTTTCCCAAATTTCTATGGTATTAAAAAGGCATGTAACATGCATTCAAAGCATGGGGTATGAAAAGGGTGAAATGATTTGAAAAAGATGAAAAAGGGATTTTGGAGAGAATTTGATGAAACGGTTTTTGAGAAAAACCTAGTCGCCGCGGAGTCACCAAAGGACCGGCGTGTTAATATAGCCTAGAGGGATTAGGGAGATTGCCCTAGCGTGGTTGAGCTATCTGGGCCCCAAATGACGCTGCGGAGGTACCAAAGGTCAGGGACAGTAGCCAACCCTTCTCTCGTGTCGCTGCGAAGTCACCAAAGGGCGGGTTATATTAACAGTTTGTGAAGTAATGATGTTTTTCTGAAAATGGGGAGTAACATGCATAACATTGCATTCATGACACGAGATTTTTTTACTTTGAACTTAGAATTGATATTGTGTTTTTCCGGCTTTGCATGACCCCAAATTCCTATTATCCTATTCTCTATTTAGATTCACGGGGTTTCAAGAGGTGCGTCTTAGGCACTACCTACTGAGTAATTTTGCTCACCCTATATATTTAACATTTTTTAGGAAACGGGAAAGAAGTGGCGGACGATGTTATACCACTGACTTAGTATGGATTAGGAGCTTATTTTGTTGTTTTTGTACTTGGGTCACTCTATTTTTGTAAGACTAAGCATAATGTATTTTGTACGATGACTTATGGACTTTGAATATTATACTTATACCTATGGGCTTGTAAAGCATAGACATTTGATCTTAATATTGTATTTTGGGACTGTAATTATGATACTTGGATGATATAGTATGTGGTTGTACCACCATGGAATGTGACGACCCTAGTTTTTAGGCCAGCGTGTCCTGTGATGAACCGAAGACTGACTCGATAACGGATCCGATATGCAGAAGCAAAAACAGAAAACAAGACTCTAAAAAGTCAAAATGACCTTCCATGAGGTCGTGGAACTCAATAAGAACTGACGCAGAAGCAAAAGACCAAAAATATGACAAATAAGCCCCCAGGGGCAAAATAGTCATTTCTGAAAACTGTGGAATCGGGTGCCACCGAGCACACCACTGGAAGGACAACGAAAAACTAATCAAGATGGACTCAAGAATCACTTGATTCGGAGTCCGGATGAGGATAATATGAAACTCCAAAGTTTCATAAAAATCACATTTTTGGATTTGAAATCAATGCAGCAAGGGTACTTCGCAAGGGGTAAAAAGGTCTTTTCAGACAAAATTGGATGCAATTGAGCATACCGTTAGATAGACTGGGAAAATTTAATGAATCTAGACTCAAGAATCACTTGATTCGGAATCCGGACGAAAAAGATATGAAACGTCAAAGTTTCATAAAAACCAACTTTTGGGTTTAAAATCAGTGTGGCAAGAGTAATTTACAAGGGGTAAAATAGTCTTTTCAGATAGAATTAGATGTAACCGTGAATACCATTGGATAGACAAGCAAAAACTAATAAACTTAGACTCAAAAATCACTTGATTTGGAATCGGGACGAAAAAGATATAAAGCCTCAAAGTTTCAAAAAATTAGACTTATTTTCTGAGTTCAAAAATCTGGGCAGGAATAGTGTTTTGACAGAAAGCTCCAATTAAATTTTTTTCCAGAACCGAGGCTAAAACGGACCCTTAAACGAGTTTTTCTGGAAAAACACGAAGAAGAAACCCCCCTTAAAATCACGTTTTCTACCCGACTATGCAGAAGAAACCAAAAAAATACGATATAAATTCCCTAAAATGCCCCTTGAACATCCTAGGTCAAGATGGACCCAAAAAGCTGCTACAAGCATTTTTTTCAGAAACAGCCAGAACAGAGAGTAAAAACGGGCTAGTAGATGAATTTTTCTGGAAAAACACAAAGAAGAAACCCCCCTCAAAATTGAATTTTCTATGTGGGTCGCAAGAGAATTCAAAAAAAATGTAATGTAGAATACCCGAAATGCCCCTCCATGAAATCTGGTCATGGAGGTCCAAAAAGCTGCTAAAAAAAAACAGAAAAACTGAACTTTGCGATCGATTTCGGGCACCAAGACGACATTTTCTGGAAAAACACAAAAAAGAAACCCCCCCTAAAATCATGTTTTCTAAGTGACCATGTTGAAAGAAGAAAATAAAACTGAGGTAAAAGGTCCATAATGCCCCTAGATCAGAATATGCAAAAAAAATGCGAAATGAATTCGCAAGAGGCTCAAAACACAAACGATGAGGTTTTGCCTGGAAACGACTATGCACGCAAACGTAACTTACCTATTTAGACGTGCTACAATGGTCCATGGCTTAAAAATATAGCCGATGCAAAATCCGACCCCCTTACGGGCAAAAAAGGCAAAAATGGACTTGGAATGGAAAACATGGAATCCAAAAATGCAAAACGGGATCAAATGACCGTTTGGCCCTTGTCCACACTTCATACAAGATTAATAAGACCCTATAAAAGAATGAAAATGGAATTCCCACACCCGATGCAACCGTGGTGAAGCAATGACTTGCGATTTTTCAAGTTTTTCATAACATTTCATGAAGTTAAAAAGTTGCATAAAATACAATATACATGTCATTGGCCTCCGGCCTCATCTCATACATATCAAATACATTGAAAAGAGTGTACTTAAGTACACATTACATACATGGAATCAAACATACATATTTGGACATACAAGTCTACAAAATGACATTTCATGCTAACATTTGCATGAAATGGAAACTTGAAAGCTACTCGACATCCAAGGAATGCTAGGCTTCACGAACCAAGTCTTCGTACCTGAAATATGCCCCAGTATCGTAGGAGTGAGTAACATAAAGCTACTCGTAGGAAATGAGCATGCATCGACCTAGCATTTTACAAATTTATCACCTTAAGGTGAAACATATTAAAGGGGCTCATGCCACCAAACGTCTATGTCCAAGTGAGACTCGGGGAGCATCCTAAGCTACCTTAGAGTCTAAGCAGCAAGAATCATGATATACATACGTGTATGAAACGAATCATGGTTGGGATAATTTAAAGAACACGACAAGAAGAATGCTTGAGCATATATTAACATGAATTGCATTTTCAATACAATTGAACTAGGTCTAGAGTAATCCATACAACATAACAAAAGCATATTTGAATACAAGTTAACAAGAATCACATTATCCATGCAATTCAACAACAAAAGAGCATGTTATACAATGCAACAAGGTTTAAGTTCTCAAAGCCATCAACTTAGAATCTAAAGCACAAAATAACAGTAGTGGTTCATGCCACCTAACGTCTATATTATAAATGAATCAATAGGATCAATCCTAAACTTTATTAGAACGTTAAAACACGATTTTCAATATCGATGCAATTTAACCAACATTGGAACTTCCAATACAACGCATAAAGCACAATTTTGCAAAGTTAACATCTTGTAACTTAAAATGGAATGACAAATAAGAAACAACAAGTTACAACATCATCTAGTTATCAACTTGAAAATGAAATGCGAAATCAAACAAAGTGGATACTCGGACGTCACGCCGGATCAGACCGACAACATAGTTACTTTAGGGTTACTAGCCCATGGGTAACCTCTCTATGTGCGCACTAGACTATATATAGAGGGACTATCCCCCGTACTAGAACCACGTCCTAGCCATAGTCAAACAACGACATCCCCAAGTTTCCAAAATCAACAAGTTGTGCAACTGCGCATATATCAACAGGAATATGTAAGATAATCAATTATCTACTAAGCACAACCAAATTTGGAAACCTATACAATACATGCTCTAAATCCACAACTAATATGATATGATG